TATTATGCATATAATAAATACTTCATGCGTATCCAATTACATAATTCCGTCAACATAAATACTGTACTCTTATTATACCACCGAAATAGGAAAATCATGTCGACCCAATACGCCCAGGATTTCAAATTCTTACGATTCATCACCGGAACGAATCCCGTGAAAGTGCTACATACACAAGTACTGTGCAGTGCAACCGAGGGATGCGATGCCTTAGCCGTGATTAAATTTCGGTACTGCGGCGGGGCTAAGATCGAGACCTGCCTGACCACGTGGGAGGGCGATCGGGTGTACTATCGCTTGACTATAGCGTAAGTGTATGCTAGGTGATGTATTTCTACAAATATATATGCAAGGAGATGGGCATAGGTATATAAAGAACGGTACAGCCTTGCTCACGTGCTTATACGTACTATATATAGTCTTATGGACTGTATGTACCTACAAACCACATGTGAGGCTGATGGTATGATCATGATGTCATATCGGTTCATCCTTGTTCATGTGCTTACACATACTATACATAGTCTCATGCACTGTATATACCTACACACTATAAGTGAGGCCGACTGTATGATCATGGTATCATATTGGTTCATCGCATTCGTATGCACTATATACATTCGTATATGTTGTACTATAGATACTCGTATGTATACGTACTATATATATTCTTAAGTACTGCATATACCTACACACCAATAGAGAGGCCGATGGTATGGTCATGGTGCGCTTGCCAGCGTATCTGGATGAGTTCTATTCCTTGTCCTTCGTCGATTTGCCACAGTACGAATTCGATGTTGAGATCTCCACAGATGGACTCCATTACGAAACGGATACGGACCTTCTGGTAATACATAATATTTGTTTTTTGGGTTTGTTGTGTATTTGCGTATCTTCGTATTTATGTGTTCACGTATTTGCGTATCTGCGTATTTGGTTATTTGCGTATATTCGTATATACGTAGTAGTTCTGTTTTGACGCATTGCATCCACAGATATTCTGGTGTATGCGTATTTATGCGTATACATGCGTATTTTCATATCTGTGTACTTACGGTTTTGAACGCTGTTGCTATGGGCATGTATCGACACAGAACATTAATTCGTAATTGGTTCGTATTTTGTTGTCCATAAATCATTACACAGCCATTCATATACAGCGTGCTAGCCTTCACCATATTTGGTGCATAATACTTTGTTTTGATTGGTGATGCTATGCGCAGGGGCTGGGCCACGTAACTAAGAGAGCGCTGTTTGAAGTCATTAAGAGCAATGATGTGCTGCCGAAGGAGTTCAAGTTTTCGTACCAATTCTCAGAGTCGAAATATTTGCACCAAGCGATAGGTGTGTCGGTCAAATGATATAAACTCACAAACATTAAACTCTAAACCCTACGTTCAATAATACTGGACATGTATTTCATAGAGTACATTTACATATAGTGTTTTGGTAATCGATGTGCGTATATTTTATGGGTACGTGTTAATGATCAATGAGGTCTATATATATATGCATGCATACAAACACACACACACACACACACACACACACACTCTCACACACACACATATATATATATATATATGTATACATACATACACACACACACACACATATATATATATATATATGTATAATTTCTACTCTCTCTCTCTCACAAACAC